ATGATTCATTAAACGTTTGGTAATTAGTTAAACAACCTGGTTTTAGACAATTGCGTTTAACACCAATATAAAATCATAACTGGCAATTACTTTCCTATATTTCACTTAACGTCGTAAACATTAATTAAGTAACTATAAATTGAAAATCACTGTGATGTAAGTACATAAATTCAATATATACACAATATAAACAAGTACCTAAAAGTATTTAATGGTACATAATTAATAATTTGTAAACATAATAATATGGTATAATTTTTGACGAAAATTAATTTTACATTTTCTCACAAAATATTACACATATCTTTACATTTAAAAAATCTTTTTAATATTTTATATTCTTAATAAATTGTGTAAAACATACATGATGGAAACCGTTTTCGCATAAACTGAACTTAATGTTTATTCTTGAAATTTTCCAGGTAATGCATATTGTATTATGTACTTGATTAAGTAACTAACATTTCTTATTAAATAACTTATAATTTTCATTGAATGAAAAAAAAATTACTTAAGTTCATGCTGTAATGATCGTATACTCCTTCACAATTTTAATTAATAGTCCAAGTACATTTTTTCTAACTCTAAAATCAGAGAAACGTACAATAACTTTAATCTTATTAAGCTTTTATTAGTTTTATGTACACGGATTTTATATAATTTTATTTTATTACGTAGATAATATTGAAAGCTGAGTCGCAATAATAAAATCTCTTAACGAATGAAACTCTCCCGTATTAGTTGTCATTCTTTTGAATTTACGATCGAATAATTTAAATTTAAAAACTGATGTAATATGCTATTCGGGTTCAGCAGTATCGTATAGTATTTGTTCAAATAGTAATAAGATGAAAATAAAAAAACATTAATTGCAAAATTTGTTTTTAGATTGTCACTTTGTCACTGAATTGATTTTGTTGTTGCATTGGTTATGATAATAACAAACAAAAACCGACCCCGAGATTCTCTACTCGCGAGTGATTTGCATATAAATGGACCGGCGAATAAAAGGGGTGTTTTCACAGGCACTACCACCACACTTCCCTAAATTTCGGGGGCTGTGTTCAAGAAGAGGCGCAAGTTGATAAATAGCAAACCACTGTCGTTGACATAATTCAGGATTCGGTGAGCTTATACCGTCTTTTCCTTCTGCTACTTTGTGTCCTTTCATTTTTTTTCCAAGTGGCAACAGAGATGGAAAAATAGTCACCTCCTTTGGATATGTATTTGTGTCTCCACGTTTATTTATTTCTCTCTCTCTCTCTCTCTCACACACACACACACACACTATTTATCTCTCTCCCTTTCCATCTCTCTTTCTCTATCGTTTTCTCTCACACTCTCTCTCTCTCTCTCTTACTACGTTAACGCGCTTCTTCGGACCGAGAAATGGAATTTGACCCACAGTGTATTCGACAAGGAGAAGGGCACTCGTATTTTATTAGATTAGATCACGACTGTACCTTCGGAGACCGCTACCGTATTAACACCTTTTACCTAAAGGATTTATTTTCTCCATTCAAGACCTAGAATTATTTATTCGCAACCTCTTATCCGTATGGTTTTTTCTCACTCTATATTTTTTTTTTTTTTTTTTTGATAGCTTAAAAAACGTTTAATATATAAATTGAACAAAAAAAAAAACCAAGAATATAAAATAACACGTTATATAGATATAATGTATATTAAAGTCTGAATAAAATATAAATAATCTAAACAGTTGATATTGCATGAATTGCATACCCCAAAAGGTAACAATAATAATCATTATTGACAGTTCTTAGGTTTATTATATTATTTTATTTTTTTTTTAGTTTCATCGATTTATAAGGTTTCATGATACAGTTTTCATTGCCCTGCATGGCTGAATATAATTATTATAAAATAGTTTTAGTAGTTTTTGTTAGTTGTCTACCATTGTTGGAGTATTAGACCACTATTATGATATGATAATTTCTATTGAGCGGTACTCATATATATATATAGGTTTTCATACTGTACAATTGTTGAGATAAAAAAAATAAAATAATTATTCATTAATTTAAAAACGTAGATACAAACATTATCATTTGTAACATTTAATGCGAACAATGCAAAAGTAATTTGTAAAATATAATATTGATAAGATTAATGTTATTAATTTAGTTGGGAAAAAATCTGTTTTCCGGTTTAATCATTTAAATTAACATTATTCAAGTTGATATTTTAATATATTTGTAAATATTAAATATAAATTATATAACTTATATGGATCAATGGAATAGTTTAAAGTAAATAATGCTATGCTCACTAGTCAGATTTAATCTGTCTGGTATAATATTATATAACAAAACACGACAATTTAAAAAGAACACTGCTTATGCGATGTTTATAATTATTTTTGTTTTAAATACGATATAATAGTCTAAATTAATTAACTCGTGTCGTTATATTATACTGTGATTCATTTTATATGTCTTTTTTTCGTTACAATATTATTATCGCTAATAATACATGACGTTCCATTTATATCCATCATTCATTTCATTGAGGTTGATAAAGATACTTCCTACAAAACCAAATGCAAATTACACTGTGATAAGTAAAAAAATATACCACTGACAGTGAAAAATAAATAAATAAATCACGTCCCATAACTTTTTGAAATTTCAGCGATAACACTTTTAATTTTATCGTTGTATTATAAATAGAAAGAGTTACTTTACTTTTGGGCACATAGACACCTCTGGAGTGTTATAATAAGATGTTTTGTACTACACTACTACAATCAACAGACAAATATCTACGAATTGAACTCGTTTTATTTTCTGTTTATATTACGAGTACATTGAGATACATTTTATATATGTCATTATATATTATTATTATTATTATTATTATTATTATTACGTCTCATATTAATACACGATTCTTTAATGAATTTTCCCAGAATTATTTAAATTTATAACTGTAGCTCTATTTCGAAATAAATTAAAACTCAGACAAAAGAAGAACAATGTTCCGAAAGTAATTTTATACTTCGAAAAACAAATTTAAGCCGACAATAGACGCCGGAAAAATATCTTACACGCTGCACATCGAATTCTGAATCTACCTACGCATGACGTACGTTTCCGAGTTTATACTTTGTCGTATCGAATGGTTATATTCTGTGTATAATGCGGTGGCGCAAACAAATCTGTGATTCGGTGGAAGCTTAAATCATCATTAGTTCCGTCCCAATCGTAAAACCAACTTTATTACCCATGACTGAAATGGCAGCAGCAGAAGTAGCTATTAAAGTATAGTGCAATCGTAGCGTGCAGTCCCTTTTTTGTGTAATTTTCATGTGCGATTTTATGTGTGTACGTGTGTAAAAATGCATATTACATATTGAATCAAATATATGTATTTAAAAGTTCCTATTAAACATTCAAAACACAATTTTGTAACACGTATCAACCCACAGTATTTTTTATTTTTAATAATTTATTGTATATTATACACTATTTGTTGTTAAAAGTTTTTCAAGAAATTATTAAACAACTTTTTGAATAACACATTGAAATTTGTAATCAGTCTTAAATTTAATTATTAAAACCGAATATTTGATACAAGTGATTAAGGAATAAATATTTTACTATACATTTTAGTAACCAATTTCAATAATTGAAACAATTATTGTACGAGTACTAAAAGTTAACGTTTAAAACACAAAAGGTTTATTAACAAAGACATTTTTCTGAATGTATGTAAATTTGATACCAAAAAAGTTTGTTAAAAATCATTCAAATTATTGACGATTATTATTTAAACATTTTAGTATTTATAAATTTATCATATTAATCAATATTAAAATGTAGTTCTTTTGGTATATTGAATATAATGACCAAAAAGAGACTTAAAACAATATATCAATAACTAAATAATGTAAAAAATATTAGATTTATCTTATAACATTTTGAAAGAGTAGTTTTGTAACTGTGAAATTTAGCAATATTTGTTATTTATAACGTAGTTTTAAATTTTTTTTTCATATACTTCTTATAAGAATAAAACATATGTGACATTTTGATTACTTGATTTATTCCAGAATGTGCCAATATAAAGCACTCAATTTATATATATCATTTTTTCTTTTAACTGAAGATTTTTTCATGTAGTTATTAGTATTTCACAATGCAGTAAACTACAGCAAAGTAATATTTAAATAAGTTTTAAAAACAGGTAATTCAAATTCTAAATTAGATTTTACTAGTTTGGAAGAATTTACATAATTTATGAAATTTGCTTTGTTAAGGTATAGTTAATGCATTTTTACTTTTACTCATGTATAGTAGTGTTATTCGTAGTTAAATTGATTAAAATTAAAATATTTATTATCATTAACTGATTAAAAGCATAAAATATCTGTCAAGCTTTAAAACATGTAAAGTGTCACTACAACCAAAGTATTTTTTTTCAAACACTATCCAATTCATTTTTAATGAATTATGTGACAACTGCTTATTTTTAATAAACAATTTTAAAAAAAAAATTATATTTTTATGTATAAATCTAAATGATCATACTTTTTTAATTTAATATGATATAATTTACATAATATACAACATCATAATTTATAATTACTATACATAATGTTGTTGTATTTGTATTTTGTCTTTATTATTTTTTAAGAAGTTTAAAATATATTTGATTCCAAATATTGTTTTGATTTAATTTAATTTGCTGATATACTTTGAATACATTCTATAAGTAAAATCAAACATTTAAACAATTTCGAATAATATATAAATATATATATACATATATGTCACATATAATATGTGTGTGTGTGTAATTTAAGAAGTATGTAAATCAATATTAAAACTTTAATTGTATAACTACTGTCTTCAACGAATGGCGACTGCAATCATGGTGCCAAAATATACCTTCAGACCGTGAGGGATTGTCACACATTAACAACACAAAATTAGTGTTTTTCGTTTTAATCAGACAAACGAATCCTTTTGCTTTTTCAGGCGTCGACGGTGACGGAATACAAGCTGACAACGATGATGTTAGAGGTGGCAGTTCGCGGGTGGCGGTAGTTGACTCCGCTGCAACGGCGGACAGTAACAGGAAGCAGAGAGTGCACCACCACAAACGCCATTTGTCGAGATCTTCATCGGCGGTCGACTATGCCCAGGGGAATGCACTGATTAACGAGCTCGGAAATCCGGACAACATGTTCGTCACCGAAAATGGCACCGTTGTCACGTCACAGATCGGCGGCACCGCAATCCTCCCATGCGCCACTATAAAACCCGGAACGGCCACGGTGAGTGCTATAATTAATATTCTCGTGTAATTACAACAATATAGACTGATGACAACGGTTATAATAACTATAACTGAGATACGCATGTGAAAAGCAAGTGGTTATTGAGGTCGCGATTCCAAGGATTCCATGTTGAACATTCTAGTCGAACGTGCATAGTTGAGTCGTTAGGGATAATATTACAACGGTTTTAGTATTTGATGGAAAATAAAAAACGCGCGCTAACCGACCAGAAGGTTGGTCACAAACATTATTGTATATTATATATCCAAAAAGGCCTTTTAGGGTGTTTTGCATGATTCTATTCCAATATGGAGCCACTGCAACTTATTGTTATTGAGCATTGAAAAAAATAAAACAATAATTTCGCATAAGGATAACTGAATTGGTCTAGTGTTATGATAATATACAAATATCTGCACATATTTTCCTACTATGATATATTTCGAGATTCCTGGGAATATGTCGGAAAATTGTTTTCAGTTTTTTAAATAATATTTAAAACACGGAAAAAATAAATTCTATACATTTGCAAAGTTTAAAAAAAATATTTGACTACCAAACGTACTTAAGTGAAATACAGTTTTTCATGTATTTGCAGGGCTTAAAACAATATTTAACTAAAAATAAAATTTGACCGAAACTATAAAAACCAAATGTGTACGATTTTTAATTTAGCCAAAAGTTACAAGTCAAAAACACGAAAAGTACTTTTTTATCGATGTTTTAAATAAAACATGATTAAAAATCTACCACTTATATTTGCATTAGATGATTTACTAAAACAATTAGAAAATCTTTATAATAGTAATCACTGTTTGTCGTTTGATAATTAATGAAAATATCCGAAATTGATATCTTTATTATTTGCATTTGAATAATAATTTTATGTTTTTTTTTTATTTATGTAATTTTTCTAGAAAATAATATTATATTAGTCAATTATGCCTATAAAGTATCATTCATATTTTGAATCCCATTTATTTTTTTCCAGATTTTTTTTTAAAGTTATTCAATCTATTTTTACAGAATAATTAATGTATATGTAGTTACATGCATATCTTATAAAAAACAAATATACGACGTAAAAACATACTGGAGTAAGTATTATTATTAAAGAATGTAATTTTATTATTATTTAAACAATTTAAATGTAATAAATCCAAAGTTCCACTCAATTTCGTGATATGATATGTTTGTATTCCTTCTCGTATTATAGTTTTATTAATAGAACATTCTCTTTATACTCAATTGGAATCTTAATGCATTGTGGTAAACTGAATATTATATTATGAATTATAACGTATGATTATTAATATCACGAGCACTTCTAAGACTATAACAAGTAACTATCGGTTTTAATCAAAGATGTCTGTTGTAATTGGTTAAGGTATATTTCAATTATTCAAAGTATAGAAATGTTTGAAATGGAAAATAGGTAGGTAGCTTATGTTATTAGTGGAATATGTTTCTACTATGTTATATGATTAATGTAAATTATATTGAAGCTATTGATGTCTAGAAATAATCTTATAAATTATTAATAGAAATGTGTGGTGAAGTGGCAAAAGACTATTTCTCAAATTATTGAGCAATATATTTTTTTTCTAATTTATTGAAATCTAGTCACTCAAAAATGTTAGCTCCTTAAAAATATTAAATTATTATATTTTACATAATTTGATTTATAATGGTTTAATGTGTAGTATTGAGGTATACTAGTGATTTGATATGATATTTATATTTACTATAGGTACATGCCACATTTTCGACTTTTATTATTGAGCATCGATCAAACACTATTTACAAATAAATGTTTCTAAGTATTCTGTTGTTGATTGATAGAAATCTAATTCCAATTTTTATTATATGGTATATGGTATTTTTAATGACTAAAGTAAAAACTTTACTCATAATAAACTAATAAAGTAAGAAATTAACTACTTAATTAAACATTCATACCTGTCAAGGACTGACTGTGATTTTCAAAATGTCTTGCTGTTAAGAATTTGTTCTAAATATTAATACATTCAAAACTCCCGTGAAACCATTGAGGTTCCGATTGCCAAAATTCAGTATTCAGATATCCCGAAACTAATTACTCGAGCTATGTGTGTTGAGTTTTAGTAAATATTAAATTAATACTAATTGATGTAACTTACTCAGTTATTTTTTAATTGTGTTCAGTAAATACTAAATTAACACTACTTACTTTAATATAAATCAACTAAAATATAATATACTATGTTACTATAATAATCGTGTACCAATGATGTAATTAATTCATTATAATCAAAGTAATAATTATACAAAGCAACTAAATGATAAATAATAAATATTAAATTTAAATTATATATTATGATAATGAATATGTGTGCCAGTGAAATATTTCTTTTGAAGAGGATATAATATACTTAGATTTAATTGGTAGACATTTTAATCCAGATTTACTTTTCCAATAGCTGGTTAGTGAATTTAGTATATCTTACAAAATGTTACCAAGAGTTGTTAAGTTATGTATTTTATCCACATTCCCTTTGTTTTATTTTTCTCAATACCTTGTACAGCAGGAAATAGTGTGCCTCGTAATATATAACATTTCTGTAATAGATGAGTTAATTGGAATTCAATAAAAAACCGATTATAAGCAAACACAATGACTGAATCTAATTCTAAGAATATTAAGTTAGTGATACATTTGAATAATATAACTATTAATATTTTCAGTAAGCTTGGTTAACCTTTATAAAATACAAGTTATCATATAAAGTTATAAAAAGATGGAATATTGGAAATGTATATATAAAAATGCAAACTTTTCAGAAAACTTGAGTTACATAATGACAGTCCTTTCTAGGAAATGTCCTAAAATAAATGTTCAGTTTGTTTAAAAAACATGACTAGTTGTTATAACATCCCATTTTCTATAAATCTATCATAAAAAATATAACTAAAGTAACACGAAACTGAAGCAACAGTTGAGTGATTGATATAAAATAAAACAATGAAAAACTATCTACTAAAATAAAAAATAAAAAATAATAATCAATAATATTTTCAAACTATTAAGTTGATTGATTTTTATTTAAATATAATTAATAGAAATACAAAATTAATTTATATAATTTGTTATTACTTATTAAACTTAAATGCTTTATTTCTCCCAATTATTATGACTAATATTACCGTATTATATAATTTTTTTAATAAGTTTAAAAAGAAAAAATGATTAATTTTTTTTTTTTTTTAACATACATATTATAATTTTTAATTTTTAAAAATATAGTGTATATTATATTTGAATTCTAATTCAAAAATATATTTGAACATGAGTTAGATATGTATGGTGCAGCACAAAAATGTTCTAAAACAACTTAACATTATTTTTTTCTAAATAAATTATTTATATAACTTGATACTTTAAAAATTTCCAATGCTGTAAAATGTTGGAAATGTTTTTTTTTTTTTTTTTGTCAATTATTTTATGCACCATGTGTGTTAAACGATTATTTTTTAAGTTTTATAACTATAGATATGTGTATATCAATAACTATACAAAATATTTTTTTTGTAAAACATTTTTAAAATAAATACGTATGAACAACCTTTCAACAGGATATTCAATAGTTAATTAATCTAAAGAGTTTTAACAATTTTATTTAAGAGACAGTTGTTTTTAAACATTATAAATTAAATTTGTGAAATAATCACATCATAAAAAAAAATATTTCAAATTTTAGCAACAAAGAAATAATAAAATTATTAAGTTTTTTTGTTTTTAATACTATATTATGCATTTTCGATTTTTGATATTATATAATACTCTATTTATTTGTACAATTTTTAGTTTGTTAATAGGTTCTTTTATTTAAATTTATATTCATATGTTAAACAAAATAAAATGTCTGTATTGAATTTTTACAAATGTAATGTTCAGAACACGTGATCGAGTACGAGAATGAATAAGTACGGTGTTTACTTAATCCAATGAACGGTTCGCCTCTTAGGAATTTAAAAGTCATTGTTCAGTCGCGCCACGTAAAAAAGTAAAAAAATAAAAAATAAAAAAAATAGTTAAATGTCGAAGTGTTTACAAAAGCCCAGTTTGGTTAGCCATTAGAAAATGGCATTTAAACACATATTATACGCATCGAAAATATCAATTGGCTTGTGTGCATTGTAAGATATATCAATTTGAAACCCTTTTCACTTCCACTAGTCGAAGATTTATTACTTTTTAAATAAATTAAAAGGAAAAAAAGGAATCGTCTTTGTTTTTAAAATAAAATAAAACAAGATTTAATGTTTAATATTATTTTGCACAAAATTACAAATAAAATAATATAATGTTATGGTGAAAGATAAAAATGTAAAAATGTAATTTTTTTCCATACTTGCAGATTATTTTGAGTTATGAAAACTTGGTATACATTTCATATTTCTAAACTCTCAAAGCAAAATATTTTGTCAATAATTAAAAATACATCATTATTATTTTAATCTTAATCGACGCGATACATATTGTATATTTAAATAATTTCGATAAATTTGTTTATGCCATTCGGTAATAAAAATATTAAACTTCTCTTTTAATAATCGAGTTTTATTGTGTATCATTATATAGTCTCATTAAATCATACGTGTTTATTTTACGCTAATAATTGTATTTTATCAACAAAGTGTTTTTTTGAATTTTATTTTTCTTAAAGCTGTCGACCCGTATTTTATTAAATTTAATTTCCAAGTATTTTTCATATCCATGTTATACGTTTCAGAGAGTTTTAGAGATTATATATTACAAAGGAAACATATAGTATACAGTTCAACCAAACGTCAACACGTATTTTAGCCTTTAGGTATTATTATTTTCCATCCTAGGTATTGTCGAGTATCAATAATAGTTATATATATATATATATATATATATATATATATATATATTTAAAAGTATACTTGTCAGACTTATCGCTACTCAACGCAGCGGGTGCGTGGTTATACGT